TTAGGAGAGGCTGGCCTGAGAAGGAAAGAAAAAGGATTCGATATGAGGGAGAAAACATTTCAGAGCCAAGAAAGGACTAATATAGGCAGGGCACAGAAATGCTCACAGATTAAAAGAAGGAGATTTGGGGCTGACTGCATAATGCAGAACGCTGGCAGTCAGTATTTAACAGGGGAAGAGTTCACCTGCTCTCTTGCTGTATTCAAGACCTAACTAATAGCACAGCCAGCAGTGCTTGTGGTGAAGAAAAGCTCGTCAGTATCTCAGCCCTTCCTGTTAATTTCCAGGCTTCCAATTAATTGATTTTCCTTATGGAAACTCCACAGTAATAAGTGGCTTGTATATAAATATGACAGGTGTGCTGGGTGGATAAGAGTATGCCGTGGACATGTAGTGGCATTATTAATGACCTTGTCATCAATATCATTGCAATATTTTTTAAAAATTAAGCCTTAAGAGTAGCTTGGGCACGTGTCTGAGACCATCTTGCATGCCTTAAAAAAGTTGCTGATCCTAAAGGTTTTGTTTTTTTTTCTCTCTCTCTCTCTTTGTGTTGCAACTTGAGTTTCTTGAGTTTCTTTTGATGTTTGACTCTTGGGGTATTGCTTAAATAATTAAGGCCACTATATTTTACCTACTTTACATATAGAAAGTTTGATTTCCAACATTGAGTTAGAAAATTATTTAATGGCATCTTATTAAATAGAAGGTAGATGACACATAGATAGATAGATAGATAGATAGATAGATAGATAGATAGATAGAGATTCTTTTATTTAAAATGTGGATGCTATGAAATCCAGATGGACACAAAATCCCATTGTGGTTTTTTGAAGCCCCCAGGTGCTGGCTTCCCACTAACATCAAAGAGAACTGAGGAGGAAGAAAGCCCATTGCCTTGAGAATGCACCCTGTGAGAAGCGGGTTGCAAGGGCCATGTGGTTTATTTCTGCTAAAGGACCTGATGGGAAATGTCACCTGCCTCCACGGGCAGCCCCAGTCCCATCAATGCAGAAGGACCATGGCTACAATTGCAGGAAAACTCTGAGGCTCAGCTCCATCACTTAGCAGCTGTGGAGTCCTGGGCAAGTCATCTAACTTCTTTGAGACTCTGTTTCCTTACATACAAGATAAAGATATTAAAACTGGGCTTCTAAGGCTGTTTTGAAGATAAAAGGTAAAGTTTTTAAGTACACAGCGTGTAATAGATGTTCGGTGAGTGGTATTTATTACCATTGCTGCAATTAAGAATGACCAGGGAGTCTCCTCTCCCCATATGAGATCCACAAAGGTCTTACCCTTTAACCTACTTGTCCAGCAAATTCTAGCCTGAATAACAGTGGGGAGTTTCCTGTTCTTGTTGAGGGTAGCAGAACCTAACAGGACAGGCTGCCCAGGCTTCCATCTGGGGAGAAGAACTAAAGAGGACAGTAGGATGGGGGCCGGCTCACTAGACATAGGAACCAGGACCTGAAAATCGATAGCGAGACTAAAGACCGCTCCTGCCTGATCGCATAGAGAGCTCCTTCCCCCAGTCACAAAAGGCAGGGGTGAGCACCCTGGGTTGTGTTCCGGGCGATGAGAAGAGAGGTGCGTTGGGTACACAGCTGCATGTCCTAGACATCTTCCAGGTCGTAATCCTAGTAATCTAGGCTGTGAAGTCATGGTGCACTCAAGTTATCACCAGCAGGTTATGCTACCCGCAACAAGAACATGAAACTCCCTGTTGTTATGAATGTATTTCTTCAACAACCAGTTCCTGAGGGTCTACGCAATGCCAGGCGCAGTTCTGGGCTCTAAAGGAATCAACGATAAAGGGAAAATTTATAAATGCCATCCCTACCTTTACCCTTCTGGGAGAGGCAGTTAATCAAATAAATACCGTGGCAACTGTGTGAATGTGCTATGGAGAAGAGGCACATGGTGCCATCAAAGGAAGCAGTGAGGGGAATTGGCCTGGTCCGGGATATCAGGCCAAAGAGGCTTGTCTACGGCAGTGATCCTTGAGCTTCAACCTAAAAGATGAGGAACACGAGCTAGATGTAGTGAAGGCAAGGGTGGAGGTGAGAGGCACTGTCAGGTAAGGGAAATAGATATTCAAAGGCCTAAGGCAAGAGGTTGTATGCTGTGTGCAGCTGAATCCCCCAGGAAACGAGGAGGAGGCCCACGAGACAAGCAGGCAACATCCATATTATGTAAGACTTTGTAGGACCTCTTGAGGATTCTGGTCTTCTGCCCAATGGCAATGAGAAGCCTCTGAAATGATGTAAGTGGTTAGAAGATGACATGATCAAATTTGCACTTTCAAAAAGATGTTTCTGGGTCTTTTGCTAATTGGACATCAATCGTCATTACAGATGGACTTCCAAGACCCACCTCTCAGCTGGCTCTGAGACAGGGAACCAGGAGGAAGCATGAGTCAGGGGCTCCTGTAATTGGATGCTTCAAAATCTCCACTGCTCTGTCAGGGATGACTTGAGTACACCATGATTTCATCACCTTCCTTATCTTGGCTTCTGGTGCCAAAGAGCTTTCAGCATATTCCAGCTTCTCTCTGCCCGGAGGGTAAGAAAATTACCACCCTTGATACTAACATCTTCCTCTCCTCAGAAAGGGATCAAAATATTGCATTTCAGCCTCATTAAAGGTCAAACCTATGAATGAATTAATCCCTTATTAAAAACTTCTATCATTTTGGATTATAGTCTCTCATATTTATTGGCAATAAAACAACATGCTAATAATTAAACCACAAGACCCATGAAAAAGAGACCTCATTTTGTAGTGTTCTAGTTTCAGCCTCCTGCCCAGTAGTTGCCCAATAAAAATCTACAATATAAATGAAACTTCAAAAAAAAAAAGAAGAAATAAAATGAAAAAAAAATCACTCATCATCCAATCATTCTAAAATAATTTTCCATTTGTTCTAGAATGCCTTTGTTTTTATGAAGATTGTCTTGTATTTGAACTAACTTTTTGGCATGTAATCCTAGTTTATATATGATGTACACATTGTTTATAATATTTGTTATTGTAAATACATGAGTCAAACTGTTAATTATCCACTTGGATCATCCTGGTGTGTGTGCTGATGGACTCAAGTTGTGTGCACAGGAATATATACAATATATAAGAAGACATGTTTTAAATGTCTAAAGCTATAATGCCACAACTTAACGGGGTTTTTTTCCTCCATACAGAGGCAACAGAAATAAAACATATAAAAGAAGAGAAGAACAAATTAATTTTATATTATCGAAACAAATATACTATTGAAACACACAAATTTTATATTATTGAAAGCTTTGAGCTGACTTGGAAAAAGAAAGTCTGTGTAGCAGTCCTGGCAAAGACCGGAGAAGGTAATCATAAATATAACCTCAGATAAAGAAGGAGAGAGCTCTAAAGAGAAGGACGTGGATTCAAGGGGTCAGAGAGATACAAAACAGAGGGGGGACTCCCCACTGGCCACCTTGCCCCCAAAACGTGTGCCTTTCCCTCCCAAGGACTCCCACCCTCCCAGGGGCTCTCAGTCCTTCACAGGTGGCCCCTCGTCCTCTCTAAGTAAATGACAGGAGTTTCTGCTCAGATCCTCAATACATCTGACAGTTTAAGGAAGGTTATCAAGACGAACTCTTCCACCCCTAAGGCAAGCCTCCCACCCACACTTCCACACAAGCATACGACTGACCTCATGGCTCGTATGGACGGTGAGCCCAAGTGTCAGAGTGTACTGATGACGAAAGCAGAACCAAGGAGTAGGTGTACATGTCAGCAGGCAGGGGACCGCATCTTACGTAGAGTTCCAGGGTCGGAGATTAGAATTTGCAGGGACCAAAGATGATCCCGATTTCATACGTCTTTGTAGCTCCAGGGCTGTGAATACCTTAGCTGCCCAGAAGGACAGACGATGTGCAAAGTTCTCAATAAGTAGGTTGAATGGACGAATGGATTCCATTGTTCCCCAGATCACAAGGAGCACAAATTACCTCTTCCTCGGAGATAAGAAGATGTTGCAGTTTGGGATGTCAGGTAACCCTGTGAATCCCACTTTCAGTGGCTTTAAGCTCTCCAAACTTTCTTCTCCATCTGAATAAAGAGGATTATAATCCATCTCAAAGCACAATGTGAATATTGGAAGGGCTAATTTATCAAAACTACCCGGCATGCAGAGGGAGGGGTTGCTGGGTTCCGTATCTGAATTTCCTAAGTCCTAATGCTTGGTACCATTGAGCCGAGGTCAGTGCTGTGGGGCCTTATACCCATAGCTGACTAGGAGAAGCTATATCAGACAGCCCTCAGGATCGCAGGCTCTGAAAGCCAACTGTTTCCAGCTGAATACTAGCCCCATCTCTTACAGCTGTGTGGCCTTGGGTAAGTTACTTCACCTCTCTGAACTTTGATTTCCACATCTTAAAAGATGGGGATAATAATAGTACTTACCTTGAAGGGATTTTGTGCACACATGTAGCGTTTAGAATAATGTCTGGGTTTAGAACTGTTCGATAAGTGTAACTATTATGTCATGTCTATAAATAAACTTGAAGTTTAAACTTCTCAAGCCGAGAACAAAAATGTCTTTCTCTCAAGTCTACAATCAATGCCTTCTCATCATGCTTGACTCTCTAGGCATACTCAGGGATTTCGGCTGATGAGGGTTTGCTCTCCTTGGCCCCATGCCACTCACCACCCCATCTCCCCAGACCCCAGAGAGCTTGGGCAGGCCCAGGGGTTGAAGTGTGGCGGCACCAGGCAAGCCCTGTGGCCTGTCTGCAGTGCAGAGGGGCCTGAATGCCCCCTGAAGCTGCTTTCAGCCACACACTCTGCTCCCCTTTGCAAGAACTCCACAAAGAACTGATGTGGATGGAATTCATGAGATTTTTAGCTCAATGACAGCGCCTGAAACTGAACTGAAACTGAAAACCCTTCCATTTTCCTGTGTTTCTTTTTAGGTGAATAGGTGCATGAGGACACATTAAGGTTTATTAAGTAAGAGGAAGAAATGCTTGCAAACTTTATTGCTCCTCCCAGGCCTGTAAACAATTCCTTTCAATCCTTGTTTAAAGCAATAAAACCTGGAGGGAGATGAGCCCCCGGAACCCCCAGGGTGAGGGTGGGTCTGCTCCCAGCCTGAGGCTGAAACAGGGCTCCAGGCAGGGCAGCCCCCTCCCTGCTCATCCCTGCACGGGAGGGGAGTTAATGGAACCCCTGGGGCTAAAATGGCTAGGAGCTCACAAAGCCCAGGACCCCTTAAATTGTATGTAAAAACTAGAGAAGGGGCGATCTCAGGGGGACTGGAGGCAGCACAGGACCCAGGAGGAGCCGTCAGAGCTCTGCAGCCAGACTCCTTTAAGAGCAGGAAGGTGAGGAGCCACAGGGGGTGAGATTAAGGGCAGTGAGCTGTAACGCTGGGTCCTGATGCAGGTTCCGCTGCTCACCAGGCAAGTGGCTCTGAGCAAGTGACATGACCTCTCTCAGCCTCAGTTTCCTCCCCTGTCTTGGGGATCATGAGATATCTGGATGAATGCATAAGACAATCAGTGTAAAGCAACAAACACTATGCCGAGAAGATAGTAAACACTAAAGAAACTGTGGCAAATCGTTACTTAAGTGGGGGGTGAACACCCAGGTCCTGAAGGATTTGGAGCGTGAAGCCACCTGTGCTGAATAACAATGATCAGTGACCACCCCCAGTGCAATCGTCCCAGAGAGCCCAGAGGAAGCCCTCAAGGGTATCTGCAGACACCAGTGGTGCCAAGAAGACCGGCTAGCAGGCTCTCCGGGCGCTGGCATCTGAGGGGTCCACCTGTCATTCCCCCGGCTTTCTCCTCTGGCTGCTTCCGGCACCAGGCGGCCCGGATGCTGCCCAGTGAGCTCTGGGAGGCTGGAGTCAGCAGTGGCCTGGGCTCCACGCCTGGGAGGGACTTAGGGTGACTTGTAGCCCTGTGGCAGGACAAACAGCACAGGAGGAATATATGGGTCCAAAAACATCCCTACACAGAGAGAAAACAGGACCCGTAGGTGAAGCCAAAGAGAAAGGGTCCAGGCTCCTGGTGGGCAGTGATTTCTTGTGTGACCTTTGAATTAGTTTTCTCACCTCCAGCCGGTTAAGCTTTCATTTGTGGGGCATCTTAACAGAGCCACGTTTCCTTTCAGATACTCCCGGGAGTCTACAATAGACCACAGGTGCACTCTTTTCAGGAAAGTTACATGCGCATCCACTCTGCCCGACTGAAAGATGAAGCAGAAAACAGATCTCAGAAATGGTATAAAAAGGCTCCTCGTGAGCACTGAAATCAGTTAAAATACAGGCTAGCTTAAATCATTATGTTAAGCTTAAGACCCTATACTAAAGTCAAAATTATGTTTAGAAGAGTCAATATTTAAAGTTAATAACAACAACAACAATCATAATTCTATACCGATACTTTGCATCTAAAATTCCAGAGCCGGCTAACAAAAGCTGCCAAGTGGAAGAGAAAAATGGGAGGATAGTAAAGAAAAGAGAAAAAGTATGCTAAACATCCTGAATTCAAACAGAAGAGCTACATCGAATACAGGGGACATAAATGGTGAAAAAAAACAAAAAAGAAAAAGAAAACGAAAAAGAAGACAGGCATTAAGAACACCCAACAAAAAGCTAAGAGAAATCAAGATGATAGAAGAATGAATTTAGCAGTTATAATTTTATATATGTGTGAGTTTAAAATGCATAAAAACAGATTCTTAAATTTAATCAGAATCAGAATTTAAAGACAGCCATCAAGATTTTAAAAATTGGATGATGAGTTCGAAACGAAATTTTAAAAGGGAACAAAACTCACGATATTACTATCAGATAAAAGTTAACCAGGATAGAGAAGCCCATTTTCTAATGACAGAAGTTCAGCACACAAAGAGGAAAAAAAAAAAAAAAGACACAAGAAATAATCATCCTTTAAAAAAAAAGGAAACAGTGTTCATCTCTTGCTTTTTTAATTACATTGAGATTCTTTTTCTTAGTTTGGTTTATCTGCATTTTCTCTATTTTCTTCAATGTATTTGAAGAGAAAAAGAGTTATAGCTCCCTCCCTTTAGTACTCTCCTCGTTCCCAAAGAAGCTAATCCAGCCCAAGTGTCTCCTCTTCCAGGAAGCTTCCCCTGATGTTACAAATCCCACTCCCATATGTGCCCTTCCCAGGGACGTGCCAAGCCGGCTCCTACGAGCTAGAAAGCAGGGTGTGTACGTCTCTCCCCAACTCCATGCGCCGCAACACCAGGTTGCTGGATTGAAATCTGCCAAGACTCAAGCATTTACACCACGGAAAGCAGCACATGCTACAAATCAAATCAAATCAAATCACATGCACCGTGCTCTTGGAGCTGGCTGTTAACACTTACCAGCACACCACTGCTCATGTTCCCAGAAGTCTGTGCGTGACCCTCTACAGAGTTTCTGTCATCCTGCACGACAGTGTTTCACGTGGCTTTTTCCCACCACTGGTTTGTGAGCCCCTAGGAGGTAAGACATTTCAGCATTTATCTTAATCCGCACCACAGCATCCAGCACATAGTTGGCAGGAGGAAGGACAGGAGGAAGGAGGAAGGAAGGACAGATGGAAGAAAGGGAGGAGGGGAGGGAGGAGAAGGAAAGATAACTGTTTTCTTTCCTCATGTGTGATAAAATTGCCTAATTGTCCCTAAATAGCAACCACAGCCCATTCTTTGGAGCATGAAATCCTCCCACTGTCACCAAGAGGAAGACCTAAGCTTCCTCATTCCTGATTCCTAAGGAGCAAAAGGCGTTGCAAAGCACCCACCAGCCTCTGGAACTTGCAGCTGGACGGGTCAGGAAGGTAGGATGAAGCTATTATTGAACAGACGTAACTTAATCCCAATTAGGATGGGAAATTTTTTTAGCTTAAAACACTTCCTGAGAATTAATGATTGAGTCTATTTCCTCATTCAGCACGTGGCACCCACGAGAACACTCTTTGTCCGTAACTTCTATCATTTCCTTGAGGACCAAGCCTATGCATAAAGTACTTGAAAAGCTTACCTGTTTGGTTCCAACCCTCTTATAAAATGTATCGGAATCTCTTCAAGAATCATTTTGCTGTCCTAGCCAACAGACAATAGGTGTCTCCTGGGAATGGTCTATCCAAGTCGTGTGCTCTTTGTGTAAATATATCCTATTCTATCAGCCTTCATGCAAACTCCCCTTCTTCGTGAATCTTAGACCCAGGCCAGAAGATGCTCAGAGGCCAAAGAACTTGTTGAAGTTAAGGAAAACAAAACAGAGAACAGTAGCTAGCCAGTTTTTCTGATACAGACTAGACACATCCACTCAGCTGCTGTTCCATTGTCCTAATTCAAGTTCCTTCACGTTGTGTGTGCCAGTGTGTGTGCCTGGCGACGGCTGCTGAGAAGAGAGAAGGAAATGAAGACCACTAATTATTGAGTAGCCTCTGGATCCATTCATTGGTTCAACAAATATTAATTGAACGGTACACCAGGCACCAGCCCAGCCCCTAGGGTCACAGATGAATGAGACCAACTTTCGGTGTATGCAATTCCTTGGAGGAACGGGCCTGAGAGAAGTAACAAAAAAACAAATAAATAAGATAATATACAGACTGGAATAAGCTCTAGGAAGGAAGGAGACAACACATTGTAGTAACTTGTCGAGGAGAGGGACGTATGCAAGAGGGACAAGAGTCTCTCTGAGGCGGGTGGCGCAAGGCATGAAACTCAAGGATGAGAAGAAGCTGGTCACACAAAGGAAAGACGCATTCCCAGGAAGGGAAATGGCTTCAGTAAAAGTTCTCCTCTGAGTGTTGAGGGGACAGCAGAAGACAGGGGCTGGGATGACAGCAGAGAGACCTGTTGAGCGGCTGCATGGAATTCCTTTCATCAGAGTTTGGACTCAGGCGCAAGAGGCATGGTCACCAGCTCCAAGTTTTCCAATGTGGATCCATTTGCCCAAAGGAAACACTTGGTGGCTTCACGCCAATTTCACACTTCTAGCTGGGAAATCTTGAACACATGACATCACCTCTCAGGACCTCAGTGTCTTCATCTGTAAAAGCAGTTCAGCCGAATCTCCCAGAGTATCCAGTAAATGTTATACTCCTTGGTTTCTTGGAAAGGAAAATGACTCATATCTGCTGGAAATAGACCAGGTGGCTCCGGGCAGTTTCCTGGGCCTGGTGACAGCCAAGCTTGGGTGGAGCCTGAAAGGGGCAAGGGTGGAGACCAAAAGCAGCCTGGGTACCTGATTATGCAGTGCAATGCCCCACGTCCCAGGCTGCAAACTGTCAGCTCAGGAATGTGGCTTAGGTGGGGCGTGCTAGTGATGGAAACAGCAGAGAGAAACCCCAGGAGGCCCTGGAAGAAAAAATGAATATTCACATAATTGTAGGGTGGGGAAACACTGCTAACTTGAAAAGCAAAGGCAGAAGGCAGAAAGGCAAAGGTTGATGGAATTTATTTTATGAAAAATCCCACATTATCCTATAAATCAAAAATGAAATCATATGTAGACTGATCAAAAATGGGCAAAAGGCATGAACAGGCACTTATTTCACAGAAGAAGCATGAATAGTCAATAAACTTTTGGCAAGACTTTGAACAGTATTGGTGATCAGAGAAATACAAACCAAGGAACCATGATCTACAATTTTACGTACATTCAATTGGCTAAATAAATAAATAAATAAAAGCTTACAATACTAAATTTTGGAGTGGATTTAGACCTCCAGATCTCCTACATGCTGCCAGTGGAGTGTAACATGGTATTCCCACTTTGGAAAAGAATTGAATGGTGTCTTCTAATAATCAATATTTATATATTCCATGGTCCAGCAGTTCCACTCATAAATGTAACTATACACTTATGATCAGGACGCATAGCCAAGAATATTCAGAGTGACATTGTTCTCAGCAGCAAAAACTTGGAAACCACTCAAATATCCTTCAGTGAGAAAGCGGATCAGCAAGATGGTATATTCATACAATGGAATAGCATACAGCAGTCAAAATGAAGGCAGCATGATGATATGACATGCCACTCTACAGATAAATTTTAGTAAAATGATAATGAATGAAAAAAGTCCTCAAAGATTACCAACAAGTCCTTTAGGCGACCAGAAAATCTTGTTATGTTGGAAATGGAAAATCTTCTTATGGAAACCAGTGTGTTTACAAAAACAAAACATTTTCCTCCACCAAAAATTTACCAAACTCTATAATTAGTACTTGGTGTATTTTAATATATGTATATTATATATTAATAATAATTGTCTTAAGAAGGATCACATACCCTTGCTATGAAGTTAAAAACCACAACAGCGGGGAGGGTATAGCTCAGTGCTAGAGCGCATGCCTAGCATGCATGAGGTCCTGGGTTCAAGCCCCAGCACCTCCATTAAATAAATAAATAAATAAATCTAATTATCTCACCTCCCAACACAAAATAACCAAACAAACAGAAAAATTAAAACTTACAACACTTTAAAACC